GAATGGCAGAAATGTTTTGATTTTGAAGCTCTGCTTTAGAGCTGTTAAATGTACTGGCAGATACTTGGTTGATATTTCTTGAGATCCTTCTGTAATAGATTTACTGGTATGGATGAATAATGATTAGCAATCAAGAAGAAACTTCATTACTTTCGAATAAAAGATTGGTTTTTCAAGCCCCTAGGGCCTAGCTCAAGTGGCAAAGGGTGGTGGATTTGTGTCTTAGGTCACAGGTTCAAGCCCCCACACCATGCAAAGCAAAGCCGGGTATTTAAGTGGAGAAGGGTAGAGGGGCGGGCCCATTATCCACCGAGTTTCGAAGGCTGCGGTTGGTCCAAAGGATTGGCCCCAAACGGATTTCTCGGTCATAAAAAAAGAAAAGATTGGTTTTTCATTTTTATCAAGAAAAAAAGAGTGATAGTAAATAATTGCAAAAATCATAAGTAACGCAGGAAATATAGAAATAGTTTGTTATGGTGTCCTTCTTAGAATCTGTACTTGCGAGTATCAGAAATCTGTAGTATTATAATTTCAAAGCAGGCTCTTTGATACGAATGACATCAAATAACAAAAAATTTTTCCTGTTGGTAGGTGAAATTAATTGCAAACGTATTGTTGGTTACATCTTAAATTTGACTGGTGATATCACACCTTTCTGTTTTCCCTGTATGTAGTTCGATTTCTTCTTATTTTGATCTTTAACCACCATTCTCTAGCAACATCCACTTTATTTTCTTTTATCAAAATTGGTTTCTTACCTACAACTCTTTCCTCGTGTACCAGAAGTGTTTTTTTTTTCATCGGCTAAGATTCAACTGTGATACTGAAAAACTTAGGCGAACCTTAAGAAATAATACAGTGTGTACTGTTGGTTCCTTGAAGTCTTCAGAATCCTCTGCAGGATGATGAGAGAGACTCCTCTATTTGATCTCCTTTTGTGTCCTCTGTAAACTAGGGATGGATGTGTTGCTTTGATATACTGCCAATTGCAAATCAGTTATTGATTATCCTCTTCAAGTTTAGCATCCAAAGTTGTTCGTAAATTCTTGACCCCAGAACCCATCTTAAACAGTAATGTTGAGAATTGCCTCAGCAGTCTCAGCTCACTGTTATTGTGGTACTATCTATTATCTAACATGCCTGACCTGGCCTCGGGGTAATGTCAGATAGTGCCACAGTACTAGTGAGTTTGAGTCTGCTGAGGCTATTTTGCTTGTTAATTTTTAGGCTTATGAATGGATGAAGAATGACAGTTCATTTGACAAAAAAACTGCGACATATTGAATTTAGGTAATTATATCCAGGCTTTATAATGGTAGTGCACAGTTTTCAACCGAAATTTAACCTAGAGAAGCTCTCAATCTAACTAGAGTATCAACTTATTTGCTGTTCTTGAATAAACGCAAATTCCTTAAATGTTTACTTGACCCCATTAAAAAAAAATTGCAATAATTTTAGGAGCTAGAAAAAAAATGATGCAGTAAATCATAAATAACGACTCTATAAAGTTAATTTTGGCTCAATTTTCGGACTGCTAATAAAAAATTCGATTTTATCGATCTTTTTTTCCTCCAGTATTTGGTAAGCTGCATTAGATAGAAAGAAAGCAATGCTGATTTGTTCTGCTTGCTTTTGTTTACACCAGGCAATGGAAGAAAAGGTGGCTATGGAGATGAAGGCTGATCTGGAATCCAAGGGAGAGGTAGAGTTCCATGTATGTACTCTCGGGAAGAATGTCACCATTAAGAAAAGCATGGTCTCTATTTCCAAGGAAAAAAAGAAAGAGCACCAAAGGGTGTTTACACCTTCAGTGATTGAGCCCTCATTTGGAATTGGACGGATAATATATTGTCTTTATGAGCACTCATTCTACACAAGGCCAAGTAAAGGTGGAGATGAGCAGCTAAATGTGTTCCGCTTCCCACCACTAGTGGCTCCCATCAAATGCACTGTTTTTCCACTGGTTCAGAATCAGCAATATGAAGAAGTTGCCAAGTTAATCTCAAAGTCTTTGACTGCTGCTGGAATCTCACATAAGATTGATATAACAGGTATGTTGCTAAGAGTACTTCGATTGATTCCTTTGTGCTATGCTTCGATTTGGAACTTAATGCAAATGGTATCACGAGATGAGGAGATAGAGAGACACTGTTAGCTTTAGTCCTATGTGCAATGGTACTTCTGTCCTTCATTGTGCCCTCACGTACTTGTCACTTTCCCCTGTAAGAGACACGTGAATACTGTCAGAATACCCATAATATGGACGATACATGCATTGAGTACATATTTGGTAGTCAGACTTTGAGTCCGGCATGATACCTTGATTTTTTCTCCTTTCCACACCTTAATAGACCTGATAAATTTTTGGATGATTCTTTGTAGCTTGTCCAGATTGTTTTGTGTATAATTTGTTTCTATGTATCTTCTATGCACAGTTGCAGCTCCTTCCACTTGAACAATTTGCTTTTGTTTCTTCTCTTAATTTATATTCTATTTACTCTGCCATTCTTGTGGTAAGAGTCATATCCAAGAAGAGGTGACAGTAAAGAATGTTATTATCGTTGCATGTGGAAGCATATTGGCATTATCTGCTCTGATTGGTGCTATATTGTTATGTCAGTTAGATGCTACCTGCTTTATTTAAAATAGATCAGTGGGTGGCATTTACAGTAAGAAAAAGGTCTTAGGGTAATTTGACTTATCTTAGCTTCTGGTGTCGTATCCTCATCTTCCATACTAATTGCTCTCGCTTACGTTTGCAGGTACTTCTATAGGGAAAAGGTATGCAAGAACAGATGAACTTGGTGTTCCCTTTGCCATCACTGTTGATTCGACGTCATCGGTGACAGTGCGAGAGAGGGATAGCAAAGATCAGGTCCGGGTGAGCACGGATAAGGTCGCATCAGTTGTGAGGGAGGTGACTGATGGAGTGAGCACATGGGCGGATGTGTTGAAGATGTATCCTCTACATTCTTCTGGAACTGCAGAGGAGTGATATCAAATGACGGCATATTGCAGAGAAGTGAAGATGTTTTGAACATGTATACTCCACATTCTTGAGGAACTGCAGAGGAATATCAAATGATAGTATTCATACCATTATTGTCACTTTCAGAAGTTTTTATCCCTTGTCCTGAATTCAGGAATTTTTGTAGACCTATTTAACTGGGTTAACTTCTCTTGGCCCAAGGTTAATTTGACGACTTCTTTTAATTTTTCTCACTGCTAATACTCAATGTACTATGAAATAAATTTACAGGATGTATTGCTATTGAGAGTTGACAAGAATGGAGAGAGGTGGAAGTATTTTATTCACTTGGTGTGTTCATGGTAAGAACATCATACTTATGTAAGCGCTCCCCCTGGTTTAATTCAAGTTGCAAAGATTGAGGGACTTGTGGCTTATGTCACAGGTTCAAGCCCTATCACATGCGAACTAAGCCTGGTATTTAAGCGAGAAAAGGTAGAGGGGCGTGTTCATTATCTTGAAGTTTCAAAGGTTGTGATTGGTCCTAAGGGCTGGCCCTTGACGGATAGCAATGGAAAATATTTGTTGCAAATGTCTGTTATTCGGAAAGCCGAGGGTTTATCGGAATTAGCCTTTCTACTATATTCCGGAAAACTCAAAGTTCAGGGCTGATCTTGTAAAATCATGCGTCAATTTGCATTTAAACCTAATTTTATTGTGAAATATATTAGGCTCTCACATCTATCTGACGGCCAAGTTACAATTATTAGTGGTAACTGATGGATCAAGTCATCAAGATATAAGGAAACGTGACTAAGAACTCTTTTAGCCAAGTTAAAAATTGCTTATTTTGAAAAGTGTTTTTGTTTAAGGATACTTTTTGAAAAAGTACTTTTGTAAAATAGTAATTTGTGTTTGGCGAATTCGTTTAAGTAGTGCTTTTTGCAAGCTCATTGTGTTTGACCAATCTTTTAAGAAAGCACTTTTAAGTATCAAATTATGAAAAATGGCAGTAAAGTTTCAATTGCGATTAGTATTATTTAGAAAAGATTTCTTTTTAAAAAAAAATTTATTATAAAGGAATTCAATTAAAATATAATAAAGTAAAAATATAAATTAAAAATTTCAATCAATATAAAATATAGTTATTTCCAAGCAATAATATTGAGTGTTTGGTAGTACTTAATGTATACTTGATAATTTAAATATGTCAAAATACATCATTCTATATAAATTTAAAATCTACTCTTAGGAATAGGAGAAAGAGAATAAAAATATTGAAAATTCTCTCCTTCAAATTTTCTCTCTCTAACCCAATGCTCACCGGCGCACGTTAGTACGACGTCCGACCATCATGGATTTGGCTCGGGGAAGAGGTAGACCTCGAGGAAGACCAAGGTTGCAACCTTTAGCTGGGGGAGGAAACCTAGCTGAAGCTAACTTGAAACCAGAGAAAACTCCAGTAGCTACTATGGCGAATGCTACTGTTCCATTGGAAGAGAAACAACAGGAGCAACATGCAAGTGATGGGATGAAGAAAACTGCAGCTAGGAGATTGGATCTGAGTGTTAGTCCAATCTTAAGTGGCCAAAGTGACAAATCCATTGAGAAAACTGCAAGTCTAGCGAGTGCGAGCAAGGATCTAGCGAGTACGAGCAAATCAACACAAGATCTAGCACCAGTAAATGAGGAGAAAGGGGAGAAAGCAGTGTGGACCTCATTGTTTGCAGGTAATCGCAACTCTGAAAATGGTTTGAAACTGAGTTATATACCACCTAAAATTGTAGAAGGTAAGGCAGTGGTACAACTTGAGAAAGAGGATGTGGAGAAGGAAGTTAGGAAATGAAAATATGCTTTAATTGTGTATGTAATTGGAAAAACACCAGGCTATAATTACATGCATAGATTTGTAAAACATAGCTGGAATCAAGTTTTAGAACCGTAAGTGTTCTATCATGATGAATGATACTATATTGTCAAGTTTCAATCAATGAATGATATGAATGAGATTTTATACTCGGGTCCATACACAATGAATAATAAGCCACTTATTTTGAAGCCATGGACTGTTAATTTTGATTTTACCAAGGAATTTCTAACTGAAATTCCACTGTGGGTGAAACTACTTAATATCCCTATGAGTTGCTGGGGAGGGCAGTCTTTGAGTAGAATTGCAAGTGCTCTTGGCAAACCATTATATGCAGATGAATGCACCTCAAAACAAAAGAGGATCTCATATGCTATGATGTTAATTGAGATTAATGTCACTAGAGCATTGCCAACAAGTGTCACAGTATGGAACCAGATGGAAGACAGTTTGAACAAGCAATAGACTATGACTAGAAACCAGAATTCTGTGAAGAATGCTTGAAGATTGGTCACTCTTGTAAGAAAGTTGAGAATGAGCAACACTACTGTGAACAGCCTAGAAGAAGGAGGAGGCCAGCTGCACCACTTACTGCACAGGAAGGCCCTCAACAAGCAGAGAAAGTGGTACAAGAGTGGAGAGCTAAGAAGCAGATAAAGGATCTTCCTACTGTGGTAGTAGGAGCAGATCAACAAGGGGAAGAGATAAATGACAAGCAGCCTATTGATCAAACACAACAGCCTATGGATCAAACACAGCATGCTCTAGCAAGAATTAAAGATCTAACACCTGGTAGGGTGATACAAAGCACTCAAAAGAGCCCTGAACTGAGCTGTATCAGGGAGTTCCCAGCTCTGGCTACTAGTATACTGAGAGGGAATAGAACAGGGGAGTACACAGGTGGAAAGGTGTACACAGCTAATAGTGGGCCACCTATTAGAGTTTAATGACTTGGGTGATATGGAATGTGAGGGGAATAAATAAGAGATACAAGCAAAGAGAATTAAAAATATATGTAAAGAATAAGCAAATAAAGTTAGCTGGTTTTTTGGAAACTAGAGTCAAGGAGAACAGAGCCAACAGAGTATTCAAAAACATCTTACCTGGTTGGGAAATTCAGAACATTACCAGAATGCAATTAATGGGAGGATTTGGCTGACATGGGATCCTAAGGTATATTGTATTGATGTTGAAAAAACAGAAGCTCAATTAACTCATTGCACAGTAAGGGGGAGAAGAGATGGATTTGAAGCTTGCCTTACACTAGTGTATGGTTTCAACACAGTTAAACAAAGGAAAGCTTTATGGAGTAATCTGAATGACATTTCAACAAAAGTGGCAAAACCCTGGATAAGTGGTGGAGATTTTAATGCAATGCTGTATACTCAAGACAGAATGCATGGCAATCCAGTAGCAATGAGTGAAATAGTGGATTTCTCATACTGTATTCATAACCTGTTTCTAAATGAACTGGCCTGGAAGGGTGAGTACTATACCTGGTCCAATAAACAGCAAGGGAATGACATGATACTAAGTAGAATTGATAGGGTGTTTGGTAATGACCTGTGGATGACTAACTGGGGGCATGTGTGTACTGAATATGATGTGCCATTGATATCTGATCACTCTCCTATGCTGCTGAACATCAAGTCCATGAGAACCACTACCAAATCACCCTTTAGATTCTTTAATGTATGGACAGATCATAAGGAGTTTGGAAATATAGTGAAGTCTATATGGAACAAAAGATTAGCAGTGGATGATATGGAGAATGTATGGAAGAAGCTTAAAGCTCTGAAGCCTTTATTCAAGAAGCTAAATGCAGATGAATATAAGGGAATAACAAAGAGAATTGAAGATGCAAGAAGTGATCTTGTTACAGTCCAAGAAAAGATGCAAAGCCAATATAGTGACAGTCTACTAGAGCAAGAGAAGCAAACTCTTCAACAACTAGGGAAGTGGTCTCTAATTGAAGAGAGTATTTTGAAACAAAAATCAAGAGTTAAATGGATTAAACTGGGGGATATCAATACCAAGTATTTTTCTGCCATTGTAAAAGAGAGGAGCCATAGAAAACAGAAACTGGAGCTGATTACAGAGGATGGATGGAAGGTTAATGACCAGGTTAGCATTAAAGAAAAGTTTATAAGTTACTATAAAAACCTGATGGGGAATTCTACAAAGACATTACCAGCAATCAACAAAGAAATAATGAAGAATGGCCCTAAGCTTACTCATGAACAATAGCTAAGTTTGATTGCAGAGGTGACAGAAGATGAAGTATATAAGAGTCTATGTGCTATACAAGAGGATAAAGCTCCTGGGGTTGATGGATATAATTCATGTTTCTTCAAGAAAGCATGGCCTATATTGAAGCAGGAGATTGTGCAAGCAGTGTAGAAGTTTTTTATCACTGGAAGAATGTACAAAGGTATCAACTGTACAACAATTACTCTTGTTCCTAAAGTGAATAGCCCAATCACAGCAAGGGAATTCAGGCCTATTGCATGCTGTACTGTCCTCTATAAGATCATATCTAAAATATTAGCAAACAGATTGCAGGGAGTAATTGCTAGTGTGATATGTAAAGCTCAAGCAGGATTCATTCCAAGAAGGAAAATATCAGATAACATAATCTTATCTCATGAACTTGTGAAGGCATACACCAGAAAGAATTCTTCCCCAAGGTGTATGATCAAGATTGATCTAACCAAAAATGATTCTGTAGATTGGATATTCGTGGAACAAGTAATGATTGAGTTAGGATTCCCTAATAAATTTCAGCAATGGGTGATTGCCTGTATGAAGACTGTGACCTATTCAATTATCATCAATGGAGAACCTACTGAGCCATTTCAAGCTGCAAAGGGATTGAGACAGGGAGACCCTATGTCTCCTTTCCTCTTTGCAATTGTTATGGAATATTTGAGTAGAGGCTTGAATGGACTAAAGAAAGAAAGAGAATTCAAATACCACCCAAGCTGTGCTAAGCTTGGCATAACTCATATGAGTTTTGCTGATGATTTGCTGCTCTTTGCAAAGGGTGACTTGGCCTCAATCACTCAGATACAACATTGCCTTAATCATTTCTATGCAGCCTCAGGCTTGAAAGCCAACCGGGAAAAGAGTTCAATCTTCTTTGGTGGTGTTAATCAGTTGGCAAGTGAAGAGATAGTGCAGTAATTTGGTTACTCTAGAGGTATATTGCCAGTTAAGTACCTAGGAGTTCCACTAACCACTAAGAGATGTCCATAGCCCAATGGCAACCACTTATAGAGAAGATGGTGGCAATAATTTCTTCATGGACAGCTAAAAAACTCTCATATGCTGGAAGAATTCAATTAGTGCAATCTGTCTTATTTGGTATCCAGGCTTATTGGTCTCAAATGTTTCTGATTCCTAGCAAGGTCTTGAAGACTATTGAAGCATACTGCAGAAGCTATGTGTGGTCAGGAGTCAATGTCATTACTAGAAGATCTCTGGTAGCATGGGATAAAATGTGTACTCCCAAAAGTACTGAGGGACTAAACCTAATCAATCTCAAACTATGGAATAAAGCAGCAACAACAAAGAACTACTGGGATCTAGCAAACAAGGGGGATAAGATGTGGATCAAATGAATACATGCATACTATATAAAAGGCCAACAATTATCTAATATGCCAATACCAAAGCAGGTTTCCTGGTTAGTTAGAAAGATGGTGGAGGCAAGAAGCTCAGTGGCAACAATTCAAATTCAACTAAGAAAGAACAGCAGCATGATCAGACTACTATATTTGGCTATGATGGGGCAATTGCCAAGAATAGAATGGAAGATGTTCATGTTTGGAAATGAAGCAAGGGCAAAAGCAAAATTCACAATGTGGCTGTACTTCCAAGACATGATGCTAACCAGTGACAGATTTAACAAATGGGGGATGCAGGTGGACAGGGAATGTAGTCTATGTATAGTACATGATGAGAACAGGAAGCATATCTTTATTGAATGTGAGTATGCTAAGAGTGCTTGGACAAAGCTACTAAAATAGATGCAGAGGCAACCAATCTGCGCAACCTCATGGGACCAACACTGGAAATGGGCAGCAGAGAATGCAAAAGGGAAATCAAGCAAGGCAGGAGTATTCAGGATGGTATATGCAGAAGCAATTTATGAGATATGGAATGAGAGAAATCATAGGATATTTGAAAAGCAAAGCAAAAAAGCTGAAGAGTTAGCTAGGAACATAGCATGCATATGTAATGTTAGAGGAACAAATCAGAATAGACAACTTATACAAACTTTTCAGTTCTGATTGTAAATAATAGAAGAAAAGGAGGTGAGTATAGTAGATATATGTATAGTTTGGAGAGATAGAGCAAATAGGACAATAGGCTGAGTTGTAAGCTAACTGTGGATTTGTAAAGTTTCAACGGTGATTAATGAAAATCTCTAATTACCAAAAAAAGAAAGAGAACAAAAATATGATTAAAATTTAAAGAGAAGAAATGTATTGCAGAAATAGAAAGAAAAAGGAAAAGGAAAAAGAAAAGGAAAAGAAAAAGAAAAATATTAAATTAATGCGGGATAATTTAAAAAATATAAATTTATTATAAGGTTATTTTTGTCTTGAACAAATTAATGTTCTGCTTCTGCATTTTAGAAGAAGCTAGCATTTGTAGCTTCTCCCCAAAAGTAGAAAAGCTGCTTCTGCTCCTACTCAAAAGTACTTTTTATTTTGAAACACCTTAAATTTTTTAATTTTTTTTTTGACAAAAAAGGTACTTTTGGCCTCCCAGAAGCTTGACCGAACAGACTCTAATTTAGTTCAGATTAAAGGTATGAACATCGATTCGGAAAGAAGATATTTTTTGGAAAGAAAAAAAAAAGATAATGAATATAGACACTTCGAGTTTAGTCAATATAGGAAAGAAAGAGTGAATTGAGGTCCAATGCAATGCCTAAATACAAACAGTTTTGATATCTAGTCTTAGTCTCCTTGTTCCAGAAGAAATACAAATGATAGATGAAATGTTACACATAGAATGGTTGAAATAAAGAAGCGCTACAAGAGTATTATGTAATAGAATATCTTCCAAAGTAAAAGTTAAGCTCTATAGGAAAAGTTATAAATCGTGAATACTATATAGAATGAGTGTTGGTTTGCTAAGTTTCACACAATCAAAAGATAAATATCAGAGAGATGCGAATGTTACGATGAAAGTACGGTAATCCAATTTTGGACAGGATAGAAATGATTGGAGTCACCATAAGATGCAAGTAGCACACATCAACGATAAAATGAGAGTATGTTAACTGAAATGATTTGTTTATGTCATGCGTCTGCCTCTAAATGCATTGGTTTGTTGTGTATAACTATTGTGAGTATAAGTATAGAAAAAGTACAAGATAAATCTAAAATCACACACAATGTAGTTATCTCGAAGGATCTAAAACTTGTGAGTATTCGTATAAATTTAGCAAAAGATATGATATAAAGAAAAAATGTTTACATAGGCGATAGATATTAGTTGAGAATATATTTTAGACCTTAGGTCATATACATTCTAAGAGTGATTTAGCATTTTATAAATTCTTACATTTATAAAATATATATAAATTTTAATACTTTTTATTGTATTTACAAAATATTAACATACGTTAAATTCAAATAATATTCCCGATCCAATTTGTTTGAGTGTTGAGAGTTGAGACAAAGAAATACTAATTTTTTGTTGAACAACAAAACACTCTGACTTGGTCTATTTCTTACAGAAATGTTTACTCCTATTTCTTTAAATAAAAAAGAGAAGAAATAAAGTTTATCTCTTATGAAAAATCAAAGAGAGTCAGCAAAATAAAAAGAAAAAAGAATAAAGAAGTCTTATATTTCTCTGCGTTCATTTCCTCCAGGCTCCATCATCATCGAAAAGAGAGAAGAGAGAAGAGAAGACCCAAATCCAGTTAGAGCGAAACCCTAAATCACAACTCTCAAAGATGCTACGAATAGCAGGTAGAAAGCTCTCTTCTTCCGCTGCCGCCCGATCTTCATCCGCTTTCTTCACCAGAAATCCTTTCACCTTCACCGATGATTCATCATCTCCGGCCAGATCCCCTTCTCCTACTTCCCTTGCTTCTCAATTTCTCGATCAAATCAGAGGTCAGCTCCTTTGCTTCTTAATTATCATTTAAGTTGATCCTCAATCTTCATGTTTGTTGATGTTGTTGTTATTAGTAAATTTTTATATGTTAAAAGTTCGTTTTTTTTTTTGCTTGATTGGTGCTGAATTATCTGAGATGGAAATTATAGATCTAATTCTAAAGTAGAGGGTATCGGGAATTTGACAAGAGCTGTGATGTTTTAATGCTCGTTGTGTAGATCCGCAAGTTGTAGCTGACACTAATTGTCTTATGTGAGGGGATAAAAGAGGGATGCCTGTGGATTTGTGTTTTTTTGGTTTTCGCTATATACTGTTTGATTGAAAATTGCATCTTGGAGCACGGTTTACTCATTTCTGCATAATTCATTTTTTGAGCATCTTATAAATAGAATTGAGAGCTCATGGTCTCATTTTAATACTAATTATTAGATGTCACTAAGCTAAGCAATACATTTGTGCTAACAGTAGTTTTAAAAAGTGACAAGGTTCATGGGGCTTCTTTGAAATGATGTGACGGTTTATGGTAAACGAAATTAAATAGCTACGAATTGAGTGTAATAAAAATTGAATTTTGATTAAAATAGCTAATTTAGTATCCAATATGCAATAACGCTGATACTAAACCAACTTCTCAAAGTTGATATTCAGAGAAGCAACTGATTCTCTTTGGAATCACTTTTTGCACCATTATTTGAAGCGCAGACTTCTCTAAAGCGCATGGGTTCACCATGAAGCCATAACCCTTGCTTCACTTTACTTCATTGCTCTAAGCGACAAAACGATGGCTTTTAATAACATTGGCTAAGACTTTGAATTTGGCTTTGAGTGTTTATAGAACTCTGAATTTGGCTTTGAGTGTTTATAGAACTCTGCTCAAAGGTTTGAATTACTGAGGATTGGTAACCGGACTTATATGGTTGAGAGTGAGAAACTGCATGGGGCGATTGCCCCTGCATTGCAGCTTCTAGTTGCTCCACTTATCAGCCTAGGTAGAATTCTAGCTGTAGTTATCTAATTGTACTTGTATGTAGGAATATTATGAAATTAGACGTTGCAGAAATATGCATGTAACATATTACTACTATAATAATATTTAATATTATTATTATTAGACTCGTATAAGTTATACCTTATCCAATATGCTTTTTTTGGTGGAAGGATACTACACCAATCTAAGTTGCTCCGACACTTCAGTTTAGGTGCCGCATCCGTGTCGACACGACACTAGTATGGGTGTGGGTATGGTATCCGTACCGGATTTGGTCAAACACTTTTGGGTACTTTGACCACAACGGACGAGAAAATTCGATACAAGATACAATTTGATTCCCGAAATCAGAACCAAAACTAGGATACATTTGAAGAAATAACATACCGTATCTACGACATCAATCCTTTACTTATTTACAACTTGAGAATAAAAAAGAAATCCACACTTTACAAGCTATACGTAAGTATTCACCTCTAGATCCGCACCCGTGTCCAAGCAACTTAGACACCAATACAACTAAAACCGTACTATTTCGTTCCGCGATAATTCTAAGAAAATTAATGTATCATGACCTTTCTTAGACAGCCCCACATTAACTTCACAAAATTATAAAATTCTTGGTCAGGCATAACCGAGCAAAAAGACGATTCCATTTTCCCTGCTTATGAAGATTTATTCTATTATCTATTTACTCCCAAAAAGAGTTGTTGTGTGTGTGTGATGGGGGGGGGGGGGGGGGGTCAAGGTGGTTTAAGCTCAAACTTTCAACTTCAGTTGGCAGCACAAAGTTTGCCATCGACATTGGAGTTGAAGCAGAACTACCTTGATGGACTGGTATTAAGTAATTTAGAATATTCATTTTGTTGATGGACTGGAGGTTAATACAAGAGAACCACAAATGCGCACCCGATTAGTGATATGACATGGGATTATGATACAGTCCCCAATACAACATACCCTTTAGTTTATGCTCATCAAATATAAAGAGTAATCTTTGCATATTTTGTCCCTTGAAAATGGTTAAATTGTTTTATGCATGATAAAAATTCTCCCTTGAAAGTGCTTAAATTGTTTTATGCATGATTAAAAACTAAGTTCTTCCAAGTTTGCAATCCCAATCATTATCTCACTGTTGACAGGAAAAGGAGTAACAAAGAAATAGAGTTAAAAAATTTGCCTTTACCTCCAAGTTTGATCGGAGCTTCAAGTTTTAAATCAGTTGCCCAGTTATATTTTTCGAGGAAATTGTTCATGTTAATATTTCATTAAGACCTGTTTTGTCTTTAACCTACTGATAAAAAAGTATGTCGCTGTTGGTGGTGTGTAGCCTATTGGCACTTACAAGAATTGTTTGTTTCTGGAAACCAACCAAATGGCCGGTTTCCATAAACAATTTTTCAAACTCATAAAAAGCCATTTTTTTACTCTTAAATTCTGATCAGGTGAATTAAATCGTACAACCCACTTTTTCTAAAACTAGTTCTTAACACACACATTGCTTTCCAAGGGGTAAAATCAAACAAGCAAACGAAATGATAATCAATCTAAAACTGAACTGTTTTTTTGAACCAGACAATGGGACTTGGAAACTCTTGTTTTGCTGTTTCTTTGCCTTATTTGGATATCTTGATGATACATTCTGGAAATGTGGTTGCAATTCTTTGGATAGTTGTTAATAAAATAAAAAGATTCTTTTGGTACTTGTTAGCAAACTTCCAACAATTTTCAAATGTTTCAGGTTTCTCATCTAATTCAGTTTCCCCCGCACATCAGACGGGTTTAGTCTCAGATCTCCCAGCGACAGTGGCTGCTATTAAGAATCCCAGTTCGAAGATTGTATATGATGATAGCAACCATGAGCGTTATCCACCTGGTGACCCGAGCAAACGTGCATTTGCCTACTTTGTCTTGACAGGAGGCAGGTTTGTCTATGCCTCATTGGTTCGCCTCCTGATCCTTAAGTTTGTTCTGAGCATGTCTGCCAGCAAAGATGTCCTTGCACTTGCGTCTCTTGAGGTGGATCTTTCCAGCATTGAACCTGGGACGACTGTTACTGTCAAGTGGCGTGGGAAGCCTGTTTTCATCAGACGCCGCACTGACGAGGACATCAATTTGGCGAACAGTGTTGATCTTGGCTCCCTTCGTGACCCACAACAAGATGCTGAGAGGGTCAAAAATCCAGAATGGCTTGTGGTTATCGGGGTATGTACTCATCTAGGGTGCATACCTTTACCTAATGCTGGTGATTTTGGTGGTTGGTTTTGCCCATGCCATGGCTCGCACTATGACATCTCTGGTAGGATTCGCAAAGGACCTGCACCATATAATCTAGAGGTGCCTACCTACAGTTTCATGGAGGAGAACAAGTTACTTATTGGTTGAGAAATTATGTCTTAAGTCACAGGACAACTTGTAGCTGCTGGACCTAAATTGGATCTTGCGTTTAGCTTCTTGAGTTATACATGGATTGTATTTACTGACCAGTACTGATAGCACTTAATTTTGGGTGAATAATTCTGCTGGCTGCTTGTTAAGAGATTTTCTCATGTTTCTTAATTTATTCTGAATAAACTTTTCAAAGATTCTCTGATTACTAGTCCAAATATGTTGTTGAGGTGCATTAACTTTTTCTTTTGCACTTGAAATCTATCGCTTTTTTAGCACCCATCTGTTCTTGACTGAGAATTTTATGCAAGCACCATGTCTCACACGCACACGCTCGCAAAGTTCTTCCCTCCCCCGCCCCCCCTCTCTCTATATATATGTATGTATGTTGTATGTATGTATGTATGTATGTATGTACATGGAGGAGAGGCGAGCGTGCATGGAGAGGTATAAGGTAGTTAGGAAGGAAGCAAAGGTGGCGGTTACGGAGGCTAAGACTGTGGCTTATGGTCGTATGTACGAGGAACTAGGGGAAAAAGGCGGTGAGAAAAGTTATTTAGGCTGGCCAAGCTGAGAGAGAGGAAAGCTCGAGATTTAGACCAAGTGAGATGCATCAAGGACGACGATGGTGGAGTATTGATGGAAGATTCCCAGATTAAGAGGAGATGACAGGCTTACTTTCAAAAACTTCTTAATGAAGTAGGGTATCGGGATATTGTGTTAGGTGAATTGGAGCATTCCGGGAGTCACATGGACTCTGGGTACTGCAGGCGCATCAAGGTTGAGGAGGTTGTGGGAGCCATGAGTAAGATGAGTAGGGGCAGAGTGACCGGACCTGACGAGATCCCGGTAGAATTTTGAAAGTGTGTGGGGAAAGCAGGTTTGGAGTGGTTGACTAGGTTGTTGAATGTTATTTTGAAGGCGAAGAGGATGCCGGATGAGTGGAGGCGGAGTACGGTGGTTCCACTGTATAAGAACAAGGGTGATATCCAGAGTTGTAACAATTATAGGGCTATCAAATTACTGAGTCATACTATGAAAGTGTGGGAGAGGGTGGTTGAAGCGAGGTTGAGGATGACGGTGTCCGTTTCTGACAACCAGTTTGGTTTCATGCCGGGTCGTTCTACTACAGAAGCTATACACCTTGTTAGGAGGTTGGTTGAACAGTACTAGGAAGAAAGACTTGCACATGGTGTTTATTGACCTAGCGAAAGCGTATGACAAGGTTCCTAGAGAAGTTCTCTAGAGAAGCTTGGAGGCAAACGGAGTGTCGGTTGCCTACATTATGTCGATTAAGGAAATGTATGAGCGGGCAAAGACTCGGGTTAGGACAGTAGGAGGCGACTCTGAGGATTTTCCGGTTGTTATGGGGTTATACCAAGGTTCTGCGCTCAGTCCGTTCCTATTTGCCCTGGTGATGGACGCGTTAACACACCACATTCAAGGGGATGTGCCATGGTGCATGCTATTCACTGATGACATAGTTCTGATTGATGAGTCACGGGGCTGTGTTAAGGAGAGGCTGGAGGTTTGGAGACAGGCTCTTGAATCTAAGGGTTTCAAGCTTAGCAGGACGAAGACGGAATACCTGGAATGTAAGTTCAGCGCTGAGCAGGGGGAAGTGGGCGTGGATGTGAGGCTTGAGTCACAGGTCATCCCGAGTAGAGGTAGCTTCATGTACCTTGGGTCGTTTATCCAGAGGGGATGGGAGATCGACGAGGATGTCACACACCGTATTAGGGTAGGATGGATGAAGTGGAGGTTAGCATCTGGAGTATTTTATGACAAGAGAGTGCCACTGATACTCAAATGTAAGTTCTATAAAGCGGTGGTTAGGCCGGCCATGATGTACGGGGCTGAGTGTTGGCCGGTTAAGAACTCACATATCCAGAAGATGAAGGTAGCAGAAATGAGGATGTTGAGGTGGATGTGCGGGCATAGGATGGATAAGATTAGGAATGATGATATTCGGGAGAAGGTGTGTGTGGCTCCCATTAATGACAAGATGCGGTAAGCGAGGCTCAGATGGTTCGGGCATGTTCAGAGGAGAAGCCAAGATGCTCCGGTAAGGAGGTGCGAACGGCTGGTTGTGGAGGGACGAGAAGAGATAGAGGGCGGCCTAAGAAGTATTGGGGGGGGGGGGGGGGG